AGGCACATGACCGGAACAAGAGGATGGTTCACAAATCTCAAGGAGAAAAGTCATGGACATGTGACCCTTGGAGACAAATCCCGGAAGAAAGTCATTGGTAAAGGTACGATAGGTATTTCAAGTGATTTTTCAATAAATGATGTTTATCTTGTTGATGGCCTAAAATTTAATTTAATTAGCATAAGCCAACTTTGTGACAATGGCCACAAAATTGAGTTTAATGCAAATTCCTGCATTTTATATGGCCAAAATAAAGATGAAATCATTTTTGAGGCTAAAAGAGATGGAAACTTATACAAGTTCAATTCCAATGACTTAAGCAACTCAAAAATCACTTGTCTTACTACTTCACTTGAATTTTCAACATTATGGCATCGTAGACTAGGACACGCTAGTTATGATCTTTTAAGAAAACTTTACTCAAAAGAACTTTTTGTTGGGCTACCAAAAATGAGCATACCTACTTCTCGTTTTTGTGATGCTTGCTCCCTTGGAAAACAACATAAAGTTTCATTTAAGCCTATAAAAATGGTTTTAACGTCAAGGCCACTTGAACTATTACATATGGATTTATTTGGGCCCGTAGACGTTCAAAGCCTAGGTGGAGCTAGTTTTACTTTTGTAATTGTAGATGATTTTTCTCGTTATACTTGGACTATATTACTTGCCAATAAAGATGATGCGTTTAATGCGTTTGTTAAGTTGTGCAAGAGAATCCAAAATGAGAAAGGTTATGAAATAACCTCTATTAAAAGTGATAGAGGAGGAGAATACCGGAACACCGATTTTGAGACATATTGTGATGAACTCGGTATTTCTCACAACTTTTCGGCTCCTAGAACACCTCAACAAAATGGAGTCGCTGAAAGGAAAAATAGGACGTTGCAAGAAATGTCAAGGACCATGTTGAATGAACACAACCTACCTCAATATTTTTGGGGAGAAGCGGTCAACACGGCATGCTACGTTCTTAACCGGGTATTACTTAGACCTATTATTAAAAAGACTCCCTATGAACTTTGGAAAGGTAGAAAACCAAATATTTCCTATTTCAAAGTTTTTGGGTGTAAATGCTATATTTTGAATACCAAGGATCATTTAGGCAAATTCGAGCCTAAATCAAATGAAGGAATTTTCCTTGGTTATTCAACAAATAGTAGAGCCTATAGGGTATATAATAAATCAAATCNAGATAGCCGTAGTAAAATCTCATTTGCTTATTGGCAAGGGTTGTTTGCCAAACCTCGTTTGAGTCTTCTTAGTGAAGCCAAACAAGTTAGTGGAGGTTAAATCCTTGAGGAGGAGCCTCGAGGTACTGGAGTAGGGAGTTCCCGAACCAGTATAAAATCGCTTGTGTCGTATTTTTATCCTTTATATCTTTCTTGCTCTCTTTCCGCTACTACTTTGCGCATAAGTTTTTGTTTTTACGAAAAATTTGCAAACACCCTAATTCACCCCCCTCTTAGGGTGTAAACCGACTTTCAATTGGTATCAGAGCAGGAAGTTTGATCCTTTCACACTCATCTTTTATTTCTTTTTATGACACATGGATTCAATGAACTCCCAAAGTATTACCAAGCCACCATTCTTCAATGGAGATAACTATGGCTATTGGAAAATGCGAATGGAGAATTTCATTCAATCTATTGACTATGATTTATGGATAGTCACTACTGATGGTCCGTTTGTTCCTATGACAACTGTAGGTGAACACCAAGTTCCTATCCCAATGGACAAACTCACCACCGAAGACAAGAAAAAACTCTCCTTGAATGCCAAAGCATTAAACGTGTTGTTTTGTGCCTTGGGTCAAGATGAGTTTGCTAGGGTGAGCTCTTGCAAATCCGCAAAGGAAGCATGGAAGCTCCTAGAAGCCACCCATGAAGGAGATAAAGACACAAAAGCTACCAAGATAGCTTTAGGAACATCCGAGTATGAAAACTTCAAGATGAAGGCCGGAGAATCCGTTCAAGATATGAACAAGCGATTCAACCTCATTGTCAACAATTTGAGTAAGCTAAATAAAGTTTATCCTACTAGTGAGATTAATACCAAGATTATATTCTCTCTTCCTAGAGAGTGGCATAGTCTTGTTGTAAATTTGTTGCCCAAATGTGCGGATGTTGAAACCTCCACCATTTGGAGCAGCCTATACTCTCACGAGCTTCTTTTGAAGAAAATGAAGGAAGAAGAACAGGTTCCTATCATCAAGAAGACCATGGCACTCAAAATTGATGACCATCC